GACCTCATTTTACCTTAAAACCCTTCTCTGAGCCTGACCAGGGTCTGCACCTAGGGATTGGGCCTGCCCTCTGCCACCAGGGAGCAGGCCTAAGCCAGCAGGTCGTTATCTCCTGAGGGGTCCCAGACTGCGAGAGGGCACAGGCCAGGCTGAGGGACCCCTCTCTTCCCCCCAAGTGCACAAATTTTTGTGCACCGAGCCTCTAGTAACCATATAAAATCCTTAATACCTAATGTTAAATACATAAAATATAAAAACTAATTTTTATTATACAAAATTACCAGAAAAAAATCAGAAGGAAATACAGTTGACTCTTGAACACTAGTCTGAACTGCAAAGATCCACTTGTACAGAAATTTTTTCAACAAATATGCAGGCAGCACTCTGTACCTACAGGTTTCACATCCATGGATACAACCAATTGCAGATGGAAGATAGTATTTTCAACCTGCGGTTGGAAATTTGCAAACATGGAATGCTGACTAACCCCTTCCCCAACAATTTTTTTGTTAAAAACGTTTCTTTTTCAGACTAATTTTTTTATTTTGGTTCTATATAGTATTTTTGATGCTGGTTATGAAAACAGTTTGTAACTCGTCTTCCTATAAACCATATTTTTTTACCATATTTTCTTAGTATACTCGTTGACGACTGAAAAAGAACATTTTGTGAAAACGAGTATACACGTTTCTGCCGGGGAAGGGGTTAAATGCATTTTCCTACATCATTTAATATACGGGACCTGAGCATACGCAGATTTTTGTCAGCAGGGATCTTGAAGCCAATCCCCACGGATATCTAGGGATGACTTAAATATTGGGGGGAGTCAAAGTTATACATGGATTTTTTGACTGTGCAGGGTATAGGCACCCCTAACCCTCACGTAGTTCAATGATTAACTGTAAATGCCAGTAACAGATCAAGTGTGGAAGTATGGGTCATTTTCTCCCTTGTTGTTTTCCCAAATATCCAGTAATGTGCTTATATCCCTTTAGTTTAAAAAAAAATGTACAGAAAGAATTTAGATGCGATGCATGTTACTAGTGTGCAGGACTGGAAAGAGAAAAAGATGGATTTAGGCTCTAATCCAAGTTTTTAGTTGTGCCTACAGTTTAACACAATAGGGGAAGAGTGGGAAAGAGGAACTCTGCAAAACTGAATATTTTAAAAGTCAAAAACAGAGTGGCTCTTGCATTCACTGAACTGAATGTATGAGGTGTCTTAGATGAGAAAGTACTTGAAATCCTCTCTACCATCTAAGTAAAAAGACAACTGTGAGTTACTAAAATGAATTCTTGGGGAAGTAATGTGAGTGCGGAAGATCTGGTCCAAGAGCATCAGAGGTAAGGGTAGAGAGACAAGGACAGACTGTTGTACCCTTTTCAGAAGTCTCCTCCACAGATCCATCTGGTAGAGGGGTTCCCAACTTACATGCTTCTACTTCATAGCAATATTCTATCAACATATGTCTTGAGATTTAAGTCAGACTGAATCTATCTTAGTTGTGATGCCCAAGGAAATATGACCCATGATGGACTGAAATATACCAAAAGCCAGAGAATGTAGTTTCAGGGCAATAATAAAATGAAAGGAAACAGCTCATGCAGAATCATGTCAAAATGATGGGGCTTTATTTCTGTGGATCCTTTGGTGTCGAATAAGGTGTGGACTCTGTCTAAAGCTTTCCCCACATTCAAGACATTTATAAGGTCTTTCTCCAGTGTGAGTTCTCTGGTGTATAATGAGGGTCGCACTCTGACTGAAGCGTTTCCCACAGACAGAACATTCATAAGGCTTCTCCCCGGTGTGGGTTCTCTGATGTTTAGAGAGGTCAGAGCACCGTTTGAAGCTTTTCTCACATTCTTCACATGTATAGGGTCTTTCCCCTTTATGGATTCTCTGATGTTTAAAACGGTTGGAAATACGGCAGGTCTCCCCACATTCAGAACATTTATAGTGTTTCTCTCCAATGTGGATTCGTTGATGCCGATTGAGATGTGAGCTCTGTCTGAAGCTGTCCCCACATTTGGGACATGTGTATGGCTTTTCCCCTGTATGCGTCCTCTGGTGTTTAACCAAGGCAGTACTCTGAGTGAAGCTCTTCCCACATTCTTTGCATTCATAGGGTTTCTCCCCAGTGTGGATTCTATGGTGTTTCAAG